TGTAAACCGCTGAGAGAGGGCTGAAAGCCCTATGAAGCGGTATATAAGTCTAACTGCTATTGCTATTGCTAAAGAAATATGATGAAAGGACAATTTTGTTGGAGGGGGAAGGACAAAATGATTATTTACTGGCATCTACCTTAGGCATATTTAAAATATTCACAAATCTATATTGCTGCATATTTGAACAAGCGCATATATAGTTACTAGATTTTAGAGCAGCCTCCAAGAGTAGCATAATCTCTCTGTTCTCTCACAACAATGTGCTGGGACATGTGCTCATGTCATAAGCACTGATGAGAACACCCAAGAGTCTTCAGTTCTGCTACTTATCTGGCAGAGTGTGTATGACACATTGCCATACTAAAATGCAACAGACACATATATGCACAGAGCAGCTGTATTTGAAAATAAGTAGTGGCTCAACTGTAAATTATGTTTCATCAACCAATTATGAATTTGGATGTGGACTTCATGATCACCTGTTTTATGAGATGCAGTTTAGCTTATAAACCCCCGATGGCTGGGTAAAACTGTTAAAATGTGCTATTCAATGTGTCTATGTATATACCGCCAGTTTTTCTGTTGTTTGCAGATCTTATTGTTTCTGATTTTTGCAATTCTCATTGGTAGGAACAATTTTCTATGGAATTGTGTTTCCATTAGTGTGATTTCCTCTCCCATTTCTGTGACTCACACAGACCCATGCTTGTTCTAAAAAGAAATTGCTGTTCTTTAGTTAACAGCCACCTGCCCTTCCATGATGACTGAAGACTAAAGGCAGATCATACTTCAGAGGCATTCTTGGATAAGAATTCAATGTTTCCAAATGGGAAATTGAAACCATCGCACCATTTTTAAAAAATCTTCCAGAAATCCCATTTTGATTCGCATTCATCAAACTATTCAAGATAATTTTTCTCATAAAACTTTATTGTATGGAATAAAACATAGAGAAAATAAATTAAGACTTCAATTATGTTTTAATTGGGATTTACAGAACTGGAAAGTTCCAGCCATACACTGACCACAGGGGTGTATTATTAGATTTTCCCCTCCCAAAAGAATGCACACCGCCTCCATGGCAGACAAAATGGAAAAAAAGATTATTGGGCTTGACAGTTGGTGGTGAAATCCTTTGGAGTTGCCTTGGCAAGTGTTTTAATTTTGTCGAGTGTAAGAACGTTGGGATTCAGCTGGTTTTCTTGCTGATGATTTCAAAAGGGAAGGTCGAGAGGCATAAATTATAGTCCATTTAAGTTCCAGGGTGACATTACTGAATGGAACAATGGTTTCCTAGACACACAGATTTCAAGTGCTTGATGATCTTGTTCTGTTAAAAAGCAAAAAAATGAGTTATAATGATAATTATAGGCAGGGCAAAGAGGAAATTTGTATTTTTAACAGTAAAATAACTGTGTTTTTGCTCCTCTCTCACAGTAGGAAGTGAGGTTGATAACAACTTGTTCAAGGCCACTTATAATAAGGTTGGTTGGAATCACCAAGGGGTCCATGAAGTAAAGAAATGTGTAACGGTTTAAAGTTGTAGCATTTGTGTCATAGGAAGTATTTACAACACAGTATATTTTGCCTGGCAGTCATTCTTTCAGGAATAGAGGACACATCTTCTGTAGGAACATCTTCTATTGTTTCCTTCCCCTGAACCCACTAATTTTCATATAAATTTGGTAACTGATGCCTATGCTTGATTTCCCTCCCACCCTATCCTTCGTTTCATGCTGTCTCTCTTAGCCTATAAGCCTGGGGGGAAAGAATATCTTGATCCTTGTTGACTTATCAATTTTGTTGTATTTAAGTCCAACGCCAATAAAGATTATACTCACTTATCAGCCACTTTGAAAGCATTCTCAGCTAAAGAACAGAGTGAAAAGAATACTAGAGACTGAATATAAGCTACGAGGTGGCGCAGTGGTTAGGGTGCAGTACTGCAGGCCACTTCAGCTGACTGTTATCTGCAGTTCAGCGGTTCTAATCTCACCGAGCCTTCCATCCTTCCGAGGTGGGTGAAATGAGGACCCGGATTGTTGTTGGGGGCGATATGCTGACTCTGTAAACCGCTTAGAGAGGGCTGAAAGCCCTATGAAGCGGTATATAAGTCTAACTGCTATTGCTATTGCTACTTTACCTCATCTTGATTTTGTGTGAGACTTAAGAACTACTATCAGTGGAATGTCACTATGGCCACCTTATGACCTGTTCATTTACCTGTTGCATTTCTACTACACCTTTCCTCCCAAAATCATCACCTTATCCAAGAACAGCATGCTCAGAAAAGGGACTTACCAAATTATGTGTCTTGATAAATCCATTTAGATAGACATGATGTGCTTCACAAATGCTGTAAAATAATACAGAATTAGTATACCATTAGAGAAGTCTCTTTGATAAAAATGGGCATGGATTGACTATTCTGCTTTTCTTGGTTTGCATTTTTCTTGATGCTCCCCCCACTCATTAGGAATTCTGTGCTGAGATTCTGTGGGATGTGTTTGGGTTGTTATATCACTTTCT